AAGCAAGCAAAGAGCAAACGTACCTACCTATATATTAGGAAAGCAAGACAGAAAAAAGAAATACATCATTCCTCCTTAATAATTATTAAAGACAAGTTGTCAATTACATGCCATACCTATTTACATTTTGAATCAATACTTCAGTAATAAATCAATAAAATGTCAATATTATTACAAAATAAACATAATATAATGACATTTAAAATTATTGTGCAATTATTACTTAAAAAAAAGACAAAATTATTTGTTCAGTCTAGGCTGTTACAAGTACTTGCGAAAGTCGAGTGCTACGCCATCGGTTCGTAAATCTACGGCGGGAGACCTTGTACCGAGAAGAACTGGCAAGAAACTCGGCAAAGTCTGCTTTTTCTCCCTGTTTTATTTCATACAGTGCTTCAAGATTGAAAAATGACTTCATTTAAATATGAAGTCACTTTCCATTACAATATTAGAAAATATAAAAGTAAAACATTATTTATGTCAATCAAATCACATGTCTGGTCAATAAACTTACCGATAAATAATTTAATTTACATAAAAATAAGCCATATTTAACACCAAGCAGTTTTGGCGTTTAAATATTAATTTACAGTATAATATCCTTTACTGAGTAAATAATTTTTTATACGAGTTTTAAATTTAGGAAAGCGTAAGTTTAAAATTTCTATAGGAATTTTGTTGCAGTAGTGTATACCTTGACTCATAAATGTTAATAGAACCTTCTTTAACCTGCATGACGGCAAAACAAGTTTATCTTTGTTTCTAGTATTAAAATGTGTACATGACTATTTTTAATGTAATTGTTAATATTTTTTCTAACGTAAAGTATGCAATTGTATATAAAATGGGAGGCCACTGTTAATATCCCAACTTCTTTGAATTTATCTCTAAGTGACGTTATTAAACCCAACTGATAAATGGGGCTTACTGCTCTTTTTTGTAAAATAAATACAGACTATATTTGCAACCATACCCTACTAATAATTGTACTTCAATAGTAGATCAACAAAATATTACACTCCATCATAGAAATACAAATTTACGATTACATTTTATACATTTTTTATCTCTTAAGAAGTCATTTCTTATATTATTAATGAAATTAAATAAACCGACTTCAAAAAACATAATCTTATAATATTTATTATTAGCAGTGAGTAATTACCTACCTTAAAATCGGTTAAATTATTCGAGAAACTGCTAATAATAACAATTATAAGATTATGTTTTTTTCATAAAAAATACATTCAACCCCTAAGCAACGATATTTTAGAATTTGCAAGAAATGGAGTTTTATTGAATTACATATATGGTATTTATTTTGTGTACGAATTTACAAAACCGACCGGCCGCTAGACTGTGGGTCGAAAAGCGGGGAATTGACAAAGGTAATTCTAGTCGTGTGTGATGTCTCCCATCGCGTCACATAATGCAAATCACATGTTTACTATGTTACACTTATTCACTGCTATTGGTTTTGGAGCCCGTTAGACTTTGCTCAACTTACAGGTAGTAACTACCTGAAAAGGGCTAACTTGTAGTTTCTATATGAAATTGAAAGTAGTCACATAGGTATAGATTATATAGTGTAGATCGATCTTCAGGCCGTGCCTTCATATTAGGAGAAGCACTGATCAAATTATATCAGATAATTGATTCATCTTATGTAAGTACGTATAATTTACGGGTAAATTAACATTCGATGACATTTATTTTGATATTTTTAAATTCCATCTCATTTGTGATTTTTTGTTATATATTACATTTTTAATTAATATAATCAAACATATTGAATCTAAAATTGTTACGGAATAAAAATCATAGGTATGATAATTTTTTTACGAGTAAGATTGATCAATTTCCGATAAAATAACCGCAATTGTGTGTAAACTTATTTACATAATAAGCAGACAGTTGTCGTAGTAACGGTTCGGAGTAGAGGGTCACACACGGCTGAAGGAGCGTATTTTCAAACTCAATATATGATATTTCACGAACTTTATGATATCCTGTCCTCTACTGTACGTATAAGTTAGAGCAGGTTAAATAATGGAAAATCTCATGATATAATTGACAATGTAGGATGTCGATTTTGAGACTAAGACCCCTGGTGATTGTGGAGTCGACCCGCAGCGGGGCGCCACTGTCGCCCGCCGCCACCGACTACGTCGTAGTACTCTTCAGTCTGACCGGATTCAATGCCAAACTATTGTATATCAGTGAGCCATTAAAATATGAGTCCATAACCTGGGAAATACTAATGGGTACGATTAACGTTACCAATACTCCAATGGGTCGACTGGGTACCACGCTGCGGATGCATGCGTGCTACGGTTGAAATTATTTTAACACTCAAATTAAAAATTAAATATTTTTTATCATCTGAAACAAAACTACAACAAGTACATCCAAAACATAATTTAATTTTCTACATTGGTGAATTGGGTCCGGGTCTTCAGAGATGGCATGTGAGCCACTCATTTTTTGGCTTCTTCATGGTCGTCGAAAATACGTTTTAAAATCTGAGGGCACGGTAGAGGTTCTGCCAAGTCGAGCAAAAAAGCAAAATGGGTACAACCGGGTACGGTTCCTGTACCTGTAACTTCGTTGTGGAGTAAAATAGAAGCGAAAATTTTCAGTGACCAAGAGGGCATCACATAACGAGCCACATTTCCAGATTACATTAAATTTGAACGAGTACTGTAAGAATTATTGCAATTCTAGACTGACTCATATAGATCATCAAAATTCTAAGGTACTTCTAGCAGACCCACTGACTACAAATTTTGAACACTTAATAATCTGCATACAAAGTAAGAAAATATCTAACATTATGAAATATTTGTCCCGATTTTAGATTTTTGTGTTATTTGAAAACACAAACCAAAGAGATTTTTAACACTATGATACAAACAATATACAAACAATTACCATGGAGTAAAAATATATATAAAACGCATAGGTATGGCAAAAGAATTTATAGGTTATAAAGTTATTGGATCTGTGCTTCATTGATTTAAAAGAACTAATGTGATTATTGGGTGTGTGAGTTTGTTAAGTATTCCTAAATCTATGAAAAGGTTGGATAGCTGTTGCTCTCACAGAATGAATCGACGTGGATTACATTGATTTCAAACCTATCTTTTTTTTTACGCGCAGAAGAATTGCGTTGTGAAACTTGTCCATTTTTGTACATGTTATGTTTCTGATGGGATATTTGTCTGATTTTCATTTTTTTTTCACAATTCGCAATATGCGAAACTTCAGTCGTTACTTCATTAGTGACATTATCTCAATATATTTCTTTTCTAAGCTCGGTGGCGCAGTGGTGAGCGCGTCCGCTCTGCAATGTGGAGGTTCAGTAATTTTCATATGAACCATTCGTACGATCTGTGAAAAATATAACGTCGAGCTTCTTCGTGCTAAAGAAGGCACGTTAAGGTCCTAGCTGTATCTGCACCGTTGTCGTTGATGCCCACCGACATAGAAGTAGAATTTAGTTGTTTGTCTAAATTCTACTTTAATATTTTTTATACCTACTTTAAAAAATAACAAAAAATATTAACATATTTGTTAAGAAAATCAATCAAACGTTCTTATACTTATGGCTAGAGTTATAGTGAGACAGTTGGGCGGTCGGTTAAGACCCGGATGTCAAACTCAAATGTTCGTTTTTTCATTTCGTGAAATAGAGTAGGTTTAGAAAATAAATATGTCAAACATTTTCGTTCGTTAAATATTCGGAACGAACGTAATTGTGGTAGGAAACGTCCAAAAATTCGAACGATATTTCGTTTTTCGGTGAATTAGAGTAGGCTTCCAGTTCTCTCTATTTGAATCGATCCTTAGTGAACACATGTGCCCCAGAATCAATATCATCCTCTTAAAGGTGGATTAAGCTTGAGATAGATACTAAATTTAAATTTAGCACATGAAGATCAACATAAAACCATTTTTTTTATGTTAACCTATCATTATATATAATATCACTGCAATTAGGTCTTTATGGTAAACAAATGAAAGATTTTTTAACGTTTAAACTACTACGTAGGGCGTGAATCTGAATTTAGTGTGATGTATTGAACTATTAGTGTAGCGACGGGCAATGAATCTTCAAGCTAATGGGTAGTTGCAGTGACCGCAATTAGGTACTGTGTTATCTACGGCAACTGACAATTGATAACGGTTACTTGTAAAATGTTGATACTGACTTGAACGCTAAAGTTGCGTTTGCTATCTCATCGATCAATTAAGAAATTAGTTGAGTTTTAAATTCTCACATTTCTTGAATTTTATTATAAGTATTTGGAACTACAAAAATGTAAGTAGTGAAATTATTGAAGGATTTTTAAGAAGCTTTTCAGTGGAGTATTCAGGACGAGTAGACATATAGATTTTATCGGATATAGAAAGTGTAGTCGTAAAGGTATGATACGTGCGTGAGTCATGCCCGTTCTCGAGTCGGCTGACTCACCCAGCTGGTGCGGGCTCTCCCATCCCGTCTAGGTATACCGATCAGGTGTCAACTTAGCTAACAGCCAATATATACACTCATCATCTATAAATTAGTAAGAGTAACAGGTAAATTTAGGTAATTCTTAAGAGAGTGAGGAATTTAGTATTTTTTTTTATAATTACAGCAACTTACAAGTAGGTACTATAAAAATATGAAACTTGTAGAAGTAAACTATGTATTTGGTAAATTTAGGTAAAGACTAAATACTATTATACATTTCACGAGTTCATTGCGTATAAGTTATTTATTTATTTATTGATGCTGGCTACATATTCTAGTGTTTATGAAGTGTAGGATCTTTCCTATTTTATTTGTATGTATAATTTCTTTTAAATTAATTTATAGGTACAATGTGAGGGGTCAAATGTTTGAGATAGAAAGAAGTAAAGCATGTATAATTTTAGCAATATTTTATTGTTTCTATATATTAACAACACTTAAACTATCCGATGCCTGAATACAGGTTTACCGGGAGATCCATCGTCACAGGAGAGCCGTCGCGCGAGGTGGCTCGTCGCCGGGCGTCGGGGTATATTTGTCTAAATTATTTACAAGCCGCGGGGCATCACAACCATGTTATCAACACTAGAGCACTAGAGGCAGGCGGGGGCGGGCGCTTCAGGCCGGTCACCTGGCGGGGCTTGGCATGCCCAGTACGGGCGCCTCCTCCATCACGCAGGTGCACCCCACCGACACGCGGTACATCTGCGTCTGCTTGCTCTCCGGGTAGTACACCTGCACCCAGTCCGTGATCTCCACGCACTCCAACTTCACGTTGTCATGCTGGTGCTGGCAGCATTCATACTTCGGTATGTGCATCTTGGAGCACCACAGGTTAGGGTCCTTTTCACATTTCAACACTTTGATGCGCTTCGGCACCCGGTTCGGGTCCTCGTCGAAGTCCACTTTGATGGGGCAGACGGTCTTGTTCATGACGGTCGCGATGTCCAGTTTGGTGGGATTCCTCATATCACTCGGCATCGCGACGACGGCCACCGCGAGGGCGGCGAGCAGGCAGGTGACGAACGATGCTGACATCTTTACGTGATTGACTTTCGGGTTCGAGTTGTGAGAGAAGTTATGAGTGTACTCGTCAGTGGCTGAGTTGCGAATAGCAGGAGAGGTGCAAGGCGAGAGCTTAAAAGGCGACGGAGCGTAGGCATGGAGGTGCGTGCGGACAAGCTAGGGGGGCTCCGGTGACGGCGGGTGGAGGGCGGAGGGCTAGCGGCCCGGCCGGCACTCGCGCGCCGCACGCCGCCCGCACGCCCGTATTTACGGTTTCACCCGAACGATTCGCGGATTGTTATTGTGTGTGTGTATAGTGACTTTAAAATTGTGGAATTCTCAAAATATTTTGAAGGACATGTATATGTGTTATCATCAATAATGAGTGATCGAAAATGTATAATCAATAGGTTTTTGTTTTTTATCGGTGTTCAACGATTTTATAAATATCATATTTGTTTTGTGGTGATCCGAGTTTTGTAATTTTTATTTATTTCTTGTGACATTTTTTGAGAAACTTTGTTTACCTATCTATGAACTAAAATCTCAAAATTTGTTAATATAACGATTTAAATTATTTATTAAACTTAACAATGTTAAATTGTTTTAGAAATTCAAAATAGAATAATATGAATGTTATTCCAAATTTGTCAACAATATTTAACTACATAATTTGTGTAAATAATGTAGTTTGGTGTAAATTGTGTGTAACCAATAGCAGTGTTAAACGTCGTTGATTGGCTGACACTCGACCAACGGCACTAACGGCACTAACGTACGCGTACACGTAATATTTTACATGTATTCATTCATATCAATTATTTGTTTTCACCTTCTGGGGCGAGATATTCCACTTAATACTTATTATAACTTTCATATGAATGTTTCTGTTAGCGATGTTTATCCCAATATCTCGTTGCTGTCAATGTATTCTATAAGTTATTCAACTATAACATCGGAACTAACTTTTGAGTTGATTGTGCATTTTTAAACTGTAACAGGTTATGACTTCAATATGTGGTACGAAGCAACATGTAGGTAATAATGTGTATTTTGGCATTACATGTGTCGTTTTATTGTAATGTTAATAAAGTACTTATTTATAAATTATAAATTAAAATAGATCGATATCGTCGTTCGTTACCAATTTGATATTGGAACTCGTCAAGAAGATATAAAAATAAGATTATAAGTACTTATTATAACTCTACCTACTCTACTCTCCGGCAAATGATCTATCTAAATCTCTATATTATATTTAATGCCATAGAATGACTAGATATCATCTATCTTACTTTGTTTATGTTTGTGACATTTTAAGGTTAAGTATTCACAGTTTGTAACCGTTATTTAAGACTGATTTGTTGTTGTGATTAAATGTTATATAATGAAGAATGCTTGTTTTTATTTATATAATGTGCAACGCCTCAATTATGTTATCAATATCCATCCTAGTAAAGCGATAAGTATCAGCCATATTTATTAATATATTTAAACATTCTTTTTTATTTTAAGTTACACATTTTGCTCCATATTTGTTGTTATGTTGATTTTTATTTTCAAGTACAATAAAGTGTTCATTCATTCATTCATTCATATTTGAAAAATGTAAATTGATTCCATAGTTATATTCTAGTCAAGAGCATTGACAGATTAAATATACCTATTATCGATTTATAAATAGTTGCTTGAAGTGTTGCCTTAAATGAATATAATTATACCGCATATTCTATTCTTCTATAATGACGAACTTTTGAATAGTATATTGTTTGAAATATACAAATAGTTGTTTAAATAATTTCTTGATAATATTAATAAGTTGAAAAAGTGTTAAAACTTTTACTGGTCACAAATACAATTTGAAGACTCTACATTTTTAAAGTCCATACGATTACAAATATCAGTCATCGACACAAATGCATTAAATGAACACTCATTGTATGCTACAAAATAATGCTATATTGAATGTGAAGAATACACATGGAGCTTTAGAGAAAACGAGCTGGAAGCGTGAGACCATCCATTGAGACGGCCCGGTTAGATCACGGGGTGTCATGCGAAATAAATTAAATTTGATTGACTGTATTAATAAATTCGCTCATAAGTCGGCTCATTCATTAGATTTTCCTGAATACTAAACATCAATCATTAAACAGCTGTGATTTAATTATAATAAAAGACCCGTTATTCGGTTTCAACGTGAATCGAGAGAGATTTTTTTTTCTGACTGAGTTCTATTTGCGGATCGTCACTGAAATGGAACGTTATCAAGCAATTTTGGAATCAATTGATCGTGGTCAATGAAAAGTGGATCACGTTCGAAATAATATAACAGAGTTTTTAGCTGAAAAGTTTTAATGCCCGTTTCGATTGTCATTGGTTTCTGCATCTTCACTAATAATAATAGCAGCGTGAAGTACAACATTTTAAGATGCTTTCCCAAACCACTTGGTTTTACTCCACAATTGCAGGAATGCTGCATTGTGTATTGCCGGAGAAGTGGCAAAAGTTCTTTTTCATTTTTATTTGTAAAATTTAGTAATATTCAAAAATCTATAATTTGATTACTAAAGCTCTAAAAAAATGTTAAAGACGTTATGTATAAAGATGTTGCATCACGAATAAAAGAACGTTATGGTATGTCCAATATTAGGACTGTTGTTATGGTGCTTATTACACGAATGTTATGTCTTACATTACGAAGTATTGTGTGAAACATTATTATATTTGCCGATTATTCTTTTGGTTAAAACCAATTCATTTTCTTTTTCAATTGTTGCCTTTTCAACTGGCTTAGTTGAAAAAATCTACTTACATATACGCCAATTCATTTTTCTCGTCTGTTGCAGAGTATAATATCCGCAACAGGGCAACCATATTGCGGTTTCTGATTCCTGTTTAAAAATGCAATTATCGAGTTATAAAGACAATCTTTGATCCAAAAAGTTAACAGTCTACAAGGGGAAGCCCCATTAAAGCACAGGTACGTCACTCATTCTTCACCTGCTCGTTTAATGTCTTGGACGTGACCGATGATGTGGGCTAAATATTTTCTACATGAAAATTTATGAAGCAAACAAACAATGGCCAACACTTGTGCTATAACTCTCAGGTTAAATACTGATTGACGTGTTCCATTCGCGCGGAACCACGAAAAAGCCACACGGAATGTTTTCGAATAAGATTCATGGTATAGTATTAGTAACGAATAAGATACAATATCTTCAAATCATTGATAGCATATAAGATAATATCTACTATTAATATTAGATACTACAATGTATTTCATCATCATCAGCCCTTTTACGTCCCTACTGTAGGGGCTCAGGCCTTCCTTACGGATGCTTAAGGAGGGTGGGCCATGACCCTCCACGCTGGCCCAATGCGGATTGGAGGGTATTAACGACTGCAAATACAGCCGGGACCAACGTCTTAACGTGCCTTCCGAAAGCACGGAGTAGCTCGAGATAATAATTTTTTGGTCACCAATCCCGTGACCGACCCTTGCGAAAGTTGCTTAACAACAACGATCGCTGGCCGCGGCGCTTATCCACTACGCCACCGAGCGTAATGTATTTACGTTGCACCAACTTTAAATGAACTATACGAGTATATATTATAATGCAATGCATGATAACCCAAAAAGATTGGTTTTCAATCACACCTGACCTAAAGTGGGCACTGTTCTAGAACAGTCGCACGGATTGCGACAGGTCACCAATGGTTCGAGTAGGTACATCTCAGAGTACCTGAGGCAAGTGGAATTTTTAGGCCATTTTTATTAAGAATATTTTTCATTGTAGCACTGTGTATACAAAATATTTGTAGTCCGTTAGAAGAAATATTCTTTATAAAATATACCGAGGACTTCCAAGTAGTTTACTAAACTTTCTAGGTGTGCGAGTGAGTTCTCTTCGTTATACCTCGATGCTTCGTACGTGCTGTCCCATCGTGGCCGTGAAGAGGTGTTGGTGATCCTCCTTTCAACTTCCTTAATTAATGTCAAATTCTCGAGTGAGTAATTAAATATGTACTTTAAGTAAATCTCAACTTACATCAACTTTTGTAAGGCTTTTGATCTTCTAAATTATGATCAGGACCCACTCCTTTTTGACCAATCAACGGAGCCCCGTATAATTATAATGGGTCCCGACTGTTGATTCTTCTATTCTTCTCCTGAATTTATGATATGTTTTATGTGTGTATAGATTATAAAACAGTTTCAATGGAACAGCTATTCAGTAGTATTTATTAACATTCCAAACTACTGGGATTGTTTTTTATTTTTAGTTTTTAGTGTAGGTAATTATTTATGCCATTTAGGAACAAACATACATACATACATTACTCTCCTTTTAGTTGCGCAATTGGGTAAAAAGAGTCAAATTGGTTGGGGGATTGTTACACAGAAAGTAGAATGCAATGAGTGATGGTCTCATAACGTAAGTGTGACATGAGTTGGTGATATGTAATATGATATAAGGAAATATTTCATTAATACTATTATTTTAGTGAGTCGCATGTCGGTCTACATCACATACGCTCGTGTTGTGTTATTTGCTGTACATGGATTCCGTTAGTTCTGAATCATATGATGACTCTCCCCCCCCCCCCCCCCCCTCTCGACCCGTGATCCTTCGATGATCTGACTAAGACGGCACACGTCTTACGTGATTGGATATTTTATGTAATTTTCCTTCAACAGAAAACCCGTAAGATATAATAGTCCGAAGGAGGCAAAACTTAATCAAGGTTATTAAGTTATTAAGACAAATGTTGTAATATGAAGCCAATCATCATAATACAACAAAACAAAACAAAAATATTTTTGGGGAAACCTAAACGACTTGCTAAAAGTCTAGGTTTTACAAAATCTTTTCTCATAATAAATACCGTTATTTTGGTAAAAATATTGATAGTAAATTTTGTAAATAGATAGCGCAACGTTTAATGTACCCACGGGTGTTTTTATAATTTCAAAATCATACAACAGAATAAGTGAAATTGAAATATTCGAGAAGAAAACTTTAAGATGTTCGGTCATTATTGTTAATTATTCTAGAGGATGCAGCTGTGATTACAGCTATAATAG